CATGAAGTCACAGAGTCGGACATGACTGAGTGATTAACACACACCTCCATTTACAGAGGAGGAAACTGAGGCCTGTGTGTAAGTCTAGGGTAACACAGACCAAAACTACACAGACGTGGTCGAGGCTCAATCCCCACCTCCGCATCCCCACACCACCAGCTATCTCTCGACAAAACCCTAATGGATTCACGCTGCACCCCAAGGGGGCCCAGCTGGGCCTGAGTGTCCAAGGTGCCGACCCAGCCCGTCACAGGGGCACCCACCAGTGCGTGGCCTGAAATGCCTTGGGCAACAGCAGTCGGAGCATCCTGCTGGAGGTCCTGAGTGAGTGAGGAGTGGTGTGCAGGTGTGCGTGTGCATGCAGAGGGAATGGGGAACCTCCAGCCACTGCTCTTTAGGTGGAAAGGCACATGGATTCCCTGCTTCAAATCTTGGATGCGTTATCTTTCTCAGGCACACATGGGCCCTCAAAAAGCATAAACCCCATGTGAACGTGAATCAGATATCCTCAAGTTCAGGCAAACAGAACTCCATGTAGTCAGAAGAACCTCCTTTTCCTCCATTTATAAGGGGCTTCCCTGGTGGCTCAGATGGTAAAGAATCTGCCTGCAAAGCAGGAGACCCTGGTTTGATCCCTGGGTTGGGAAGATTCCCTTAGAGAAGGAAATGGCAACCCACTCCAAAATTCTTGCCTGGAGAATTCCATGGACAGGTCATGAAGTCACAGAGTCGGACATGACTGAGTGATTAACACACACCTCCATTTACAGAGGAGGAAACTGAGGCCTGTGTGTAAGTCTAGGGTAACACAGACCAAAACTACACAGACGTGGTCGAGGCTCAATCCCCACCTCCGCATCCCCACACCACCAGCTATCTCTCGACAAAACCCTAAACAGCCCTCGAGCACACACATGCATGCACACACATGCCTGTGTGTGTCCCCGCCTTCACCCCAGGATACCCAGCTCCCCCCAGCGTCACCATCAGCCGTCTGACCTACGGGAGATGCCGGAGCGAGGTGCGGCTGCAATGGGCCGTCTGAGGCCCCGGCAATCTGATGGGCTTCCCGGTCTTCCCGGTGCAGCGAAGGGCCAGCGTCCCAGGCCTGGGGGCAGGGGCTTGGGAGACTGTGGCTGGTGACATCGAGCCGGAGAGCAGGGGCCAGTGGCTGGGGCGCTTGGACCTGGGGGTCCTCTACACCTTCTGTGTCCTGGCTCTGAATCATGGCACGGCTGGACATCTCTCTGAGGTGAAGACACCAGGTGCTGGGGCTTTGCACTGTGGAGGGACTTTGCTTTTCTCCACTGAACCCAACTCGGGTCATTTTCTTCTCCCCAGGGCATGCATTCCTTTCTTCCTTCCTCCTGAGCCCCTCCACCCCCAGTCTCTGCCCTCTCCTCCACCCTCCCTTTTCAAGTAACCCCACTCCTGTCTTTCCGTCCATCCCAGAGTCTCTGGAGGCCTGGGCCTAGGGGCGGGAACCATAGTCCAGCTCAGATCAGAAGAAATAGTGAAGGGGAGGTGTAGGTGCCTGTAGTTGAATTAGGGTGAGGGCCCAGCTCTGCGCCTCAGTCTCACCCCCTGCGGCACAGTGGGCTCTCGGCTTCCTGCTGCTCATTTTCCATCCTGGGTATTCCTTCCCTCCCGCCCCAGGCTTCCGAGATAACCAGAGTAACTGCCTGCTCTGCCAGATAGAGGGGACTTGGCTGGGGACTCAACACCCCAGGAGCCCAGGCAGGCCGAGAACCCTCTCCTGGGGAGAGACCTGGTCTCCCGACTCTCTAGGTCAAGGCTTGCTCTTGATTGCAGCCCCCACCCCCCCAAGTGGAGGGCCAACCAGAGGAGCAGGGCACAGCCTGCATGATGCCCTAAAGCCACTGTTGCCGAGTTCAGCAGTGGCTCTAAGCCTACCCTGTACACCTTCTAGCGGAGCCCCCCTTCAGCGCCTATGCGGCAGTGCTAGGCGCAGCAGGCACAGGAAAGGTGGTGGCGACAGCGGCCTCCCTGCTGGCGTTCCAGTATGCTGCCCGGCACCCGGACACCTTCCCCTGTGAGTGGGAAGCTCAAGGACAGGGCTGTTGACCCCAAGAGGCAGCCCCATATTAGACAGGCTTCCCTGGTAGCTCAAATGGTAAAGAACCCACCTGCCAGTGCAGGAGATGTTAGAGAGTCAGGTTTGATCCCTGGGTTGGGAAGACCCCCTGGAGGAGGAAATGGCAACCCACTCCAGTATTCTTGCCTGGACAATCCCATGGACAGAGGAGCCTGGGGGACTATGGTCCACAGGGTCGCAAAGAGTTGGACACAACTTAGCACACAATACATAGACTCCCCGGGGCAAAGAATCTAGGTTCCTCCTTAGTTGTGACCTCCTCCCAAAGCTAGAAGTCCATCAGGGCTCCAACCCCCAACCTTGGGCAGCTAGGGCCACCCCCTTCCAGGGTCCTGAGTCTGGGGACAGGAGGGTGATTCTCCCAGGACCTAGGCTGGTTGCTCAAGAAATGCCTCTTCCTTTTCTTCCTCCAGGCCTTGGGTGCTTGCTCGTTCCCAGGTGGGTGTGGAAGCCCAGTCATTCTGGAGGTCAGGGTTTTCTTCTAACTGGACAGGAAGGCTGGGAAAGGATAACTTTACTCTCCTACTTCACCCTCAGGGAGCAAAGTCACCAACATCAGGGTTCAAGGGGTGGCCCCGAGGCAACGCCAGGTAAGCCCAGTTTTACCCCCAAACTCGGGAGAATAGTCATGAGTCACTCATGATGCTCAGTCTCATTTGTCCTCTGGGAACAACCTGGATGCCCCCAGGCATCTCTCTTTCCTTTGCTTGGGTCCATTCTCTGTAGGCACCGAACCATTACCCACCACCCCAGGTTCAGATCCTGCACGAGAAATCACAGAGCCCTCAGTAAATGTCACCATCACAGTGACGGCCACACCATGAGGCCCCAAGAGGAAGGTGCCAACAGGCTTAGGGGAGACGGTGGGGGAATGGGAACATCCCCTTGTCACAAGGGAGCTAAGACCCCCAACTATCCCTTCCCGCTGAATAAGCAGCTTTTTACAACCAGTGCAAGGCTCAGCTGCAGGGCCTTTAATGACTTGGTTACAAGACCAGTCCTGGCCCAGTTAATGGCAGACAGAGGTGGAACAACCAGGAAGACACGTGATTGTGGAGAAGATCGCCGGCTGTCCAAGGGCAAGTGAGAACCACGGTGCTGGGAACGGTGTCTGGAGCCATATGACCCAGCTTCCTGCCTCCAGCCTGAGTTCGAGCACTGAGCAATTTCTCAATAAATCACACATGATGCTCTCACTGGTGGAGGGTTATCCCACTTGCAGCTCCCACGGGGAGAGGCTGACCAGCTTCAGTTGGGGCCCAGGTTTCCCTACTGGGAGGAAGCTAGGAGATGGGAAATGAGATAGGCAGGGGTGTGTGTGCGCCCTTCATGCAACTGTTGCAGAAAATGTGCTCTTCTCCCATCCAAGTACTAACCAGGCCTGACCCTGTTTAGCTTCTGAAAGCAGATAAAATCTGGCGCCTTCAGGATGGTAGGGCCGCAGAGATGTGATCTTCTGGCTCTTTCCCAATCGCCAGCTCCTTCCCCCTCAAACACAAGCTGCACCAGGGCTGCGAGCAGAGCCAGGTGCCCGGAGCCCTTGTCTTCCTTTCACCCCCGTGCAGGCACAGAGCCTGCCGTGGCCTAAGGGCCTCACAGTCGCTGGACTCGAGAGCCTGTGCCAACAAGACGGGACAGGGGTTCCTGCCACCAGGCTGGGGGAGCTGGCTGCCAGGGGCCCGGGGCTGGCCAAAGTCACACTCTGTCAGCCGCCGGCATGACTCACTGGCTCCGAGCGTGTGTGTCTGACATCTGGGTGAAACACAAATGCGTGCTTGTTCCACTGCCTGGGCGAGTCGGCAGGCCTGCCTCCGCGGGGGACGCAGAGGAGAACAAACAGCCAGACGGCCAAGGGATGGTCCTGCCAGGAATCGGGAAAGTGGCGCCTGAGCGGAAACGGAACGCTGACAGAAACGGAGCTCTCCTAAGTTTCTCAGGGACTCAGTCTCTGCGAGAAGAGGGCTTTCGGGTTCCCTCAGCTGCCAGGGCTGAGGTTCAAGGAAGGCCCGTTTAAATCTGGGGAACACGGTGTGACAGGGCCCCACCCCATGCAAAAAGCCCCGGTGGCTTTCTGGTCGAAGCAGCCCAGACACTGGGTGTTTTTTGGTTTGCTTTTGGCTGTGCTGGATCTTGTTGTTGTTGTATAGTTGCTAAGCTGTGTCCGACTCTTTGCGACCCCATGGACTGTAGCCCCCCAGGCTCCTCTGTCCATGGGATTCTCCAGGCAAGAATACTGGAGTGGGTTGCCATTTCCTTCTCCAGAGGCTCTTCCCAACCCAGGGATCGGACCCGTGTCTCCTGTACTTGCAGGCAGGTTCTTGACTCTCTGAACCACCAGAAAAGCCACTTGGGAAGTGCCAGACCTTAGTTTTGGCATGCAGGATCTTGTTCCCTGACCAGGGATTGAACCTGGGCCCCCTGGATTGGGAGCATGGAGTCTTAACCACTGGACATTAAGGGAGTCCCACCCCAGACACTTTTTTTAGGGCAGTAAAGCTAAGCTGCTTCTTAAGACTAAATTTCTGGGGTTCACATGGACATGGCTCTAGGTTAACGGTAAAAATAGACAAGGTCTGAGAAGGTCCCTCTTTCTCACTCTCCTCTGCCCTCATTTCCTTCCAAAGAAATGCTAAGCCCCCTAAGAGGCTGCATCTGCTTTGACAGAGCTCCTTGCTGCAGGTATTTTCCCAGCCGCCCCATAATGTATTTGTCCCAGATCCTTTTTCTTCAGGGCCTCGATCTCTGCAGTCAGATCAGAAGGGATTAACTCACTTGATTCTAAGTTGTGCAGAGGAAGTTTTCAAGGAAGGACAGGTCCAAAACTTTTCAAAGACATACACCCACCCCCGGCACAAGCTATAAGCAGCTTCACACAGACAGGGAGCATCAGAGAAATGCATCTTCATGTGCTACTCTACATGAAAGCAGCATTCTCTTTTAATAGAAAATCATATCGACCAAATAAAACCTGTCAAAGCTACATCATTTAAAATATATACAATTTCAAACATAATATTACAACTTTAAGGAAAATAAAACATACTTTTCAATATGGTACAAAAACATGCATCTGAAAATCACTGCTTTAAGAGAGAGAAACACAGGTGAAATTCAGTTAGAAGGTTGACTTCTTGGCAGTCCTGGAGCTGGAATGAGACTTACGTCACAATCAGTTTAGTAATCTGTATCCATCCTTGTGGACTCTTTTGACAAAAACAAAACCCAGAAAGAAATGCCTTTTGTTTTTAAAGACCACTTCAAGAGGTTTAAAACATTGCCATTTCACTTACATTCTGTACAGCGCCCATCATCAGAGGATCAGTGCACAACCAAAAGGGAAAAAAAGGAGCTAGAGAAATGATATAGCAGAAGGGGCAGTTTGATGCTAAAACAAAGACTCACAGAGTTCTCAGAGGAGAAGGGATGTGAAGAGGTCTGAAGGATTAATAGGATCACTATCACGCTGAGAGAAGGTCAAATTTCCAGGGAAGGCGTGGTAGCAAGGGGGGTCACAAGGAGAAATGAGGGCTCCGGGGAGACCAGGTAATAAGCTCAGAGCTCTGCCCATGGGGGACAGCCTCTCTAGTTGTGGTGCTAGAGCATCAGAGGAATTGTGCGGTGGGGAGGACCGGGGGCTTACAGGAATGGGTTCCATCAGCAGAGTGAACCGCAATGGTTTTGGAAAGCAGTCTGGAAAAACAGGAGCTCAGATTACTGCTCCAGATAAGTTCAGATTCAGGCTCTGTGGCTCACCCGTGTGACCTGGGGACTTTATCATCTACTTAGTAGATGTGTTGTAACAGGAAGATTTGAGATAGTAGTAGCAAGCCCCAGTCTGGTACATAACAGTTATTCCACAAATGTTAGAGCCATCGCCCATGCCGTCCTGTCCTCTGACTTCCTGGCAAATATTTTTAGGTAGGACTGTTTTGGGTAAATGTGCAGAGCATAAAAGTTCAGAACAACTCATAGTCAGAGAGCACTCATAACTCCTAAACATGAAGGCAATTATATATATATTTATATTTATATATCTCAATATATAAAAGCATTTTTTATAAATAAAAATACAATTAAAGGGATAACACTTAAAACAGCGTTACTAATAATATAAATAAAGCAGTCCACAATGAGATTGCCCTACAGGTAAAGTCATTTTTCTCTTCCTAGTGGACAAATCCCATATTCAAACTCAATCTTTAAAAGCAGTTTATGACCTAAGGCTCACGCTAATACACCTCTGTTTCCTGAATCAAAATGACTGCTTACAAACACGTAGTCCCCAGTTTTCTAAAACTCCCTTTGTGAGTGTAGCCCTAGAACCTGACTGGCAGACACAGGGTATGTTTTCATATTCCGTGCGCTAGGACTTTGTCCTTTGCTGGCCACAGAAGTAAAGGATGCAGACAACTCCCTCTAAAGCTAACTGCATCTAGGCAACAATGAAGAATAAATCCAGTACGCTATAGGTGTGGATGTCTGAAACGGAGAACTTGACTCTGGAGCATCCGTGACACCTGACTATGAAATTGTATCCACTACATTCTACTCCAAGTAATCCTTGCATAGTGACCCAGCTCACATGGCACATTCCACTAACAGCTCTATTTCTAAAATATGTAGACATATGTAAGGGAATATGGATGCATTTACACAGAAAGTTGATTAATACAGTATTCTACTCCATTTCACTGCAATTGTTGGGAAACTGTAAAAATATTTTTATTTATGCTGGAATCGCTTGACTCTCCGTAAAGAGACTTGTTTTCTGTTTTGTTTTTTTCCCCAAAGGGATGCACAATCCAAAAAAGAGCAGTGATCCATGAAGCTTGAGTCAAGCTATCAAATACACTCAGAGTGCTGTGTTGTTTTGTTTCAGATGTGGAGAAGAAAAGCCTTTCAACGGCAGCTGCAAATGCCCTTGTCACTCAGAGGCAGCAATAACTGTGATTTACGAGCTCTGCCAATCAAAGCTGTAGGTGCTGGTACAATGACGACATTCAGGAAAAACGCCAGGAAACTTCAAACCTCCAGATTCTTTTCTAACACTCACATCTTTCAGGTACTGCCCAAGCTGGAACTTAGAAAATACAGATTTTTCAGGGGTGGGGCACCATGATACTTCCTATACTAATGGGAGAGCTTCGGCCAAGATGATTCACCTGGAACCTTCCCTTTCTTCTTAAAATATGGATCTTTCTCTTCTAGTCACCACTTGAAAGTCTTATTTTTCTCTTAGAAACAGTTAAAAAGAGCCCCATGGTAACCATGTTATAAATAAATGTAATTTTAAATGATAACTGGATGAAGGCATTCTTTTTCTCTCTGGTCCTGGCTCCCTTTCTGCCTTCTGCAATAACCCAACCAGACCGTCTTACCCTCTGCCATGTCCACAACACTGTGATTACTGCCTAGATAACTGGACGTAACCTGTGCCCATGTGCAGACAGCCTACAGGTCAACTATCACTTCCGTGGAAGGCACTCATCAAATTCGCAAGACATCTATTATAAACATCAGGTGTGACAACTGTGGTTGATTTCAAATGTTCTCAGACAGTCTGATAACACAATAGTGAAAGACAACTTTCCATCTGAAAATTCCCAACTGCAATTCCAACTGAGCTGAATCAGCCGACAGGTAGGATCCTTGCCGGAGGGGTTCTTACTATCGCTGAGGCTCTTGGACAACATGGTCTCAGGTGACTGAAACTGTGCCAGACTAGGTTGTTTAGTGATGAGGGAGAGGAAGGAAGAGGGAGGGAAACTTTTAAGGCATAAATAACATCAAAGGGCACACATTTTAAGATACATTCATATGACATCACTACAACAAAAAATAAATAACGCTCTTTCTCTGAACTGAATTAATGTCCTTCACACAGTCCACCCTCAGGGAAGTTTCGCGCAGTTGCTGGCTTGCAGTGGGAACACGACCGGGCGCTGCCGCATCCTCAGGTTTCCTGGGATTGCTGAAGGACGCCTGGAGGACTGTCTACAGGAGTGCCAGGAGGACACCATGGTGTCTTTTCAGTACAGTCCTTTGAGACAGGTGGCAAAATAAGAGGATTCCAACTTAAAATGTTGTTCTCAGCTTCTGAGGGCACACAGCTGTCTCCTGAAAAATAAACGTTTGGAAGCATTATGAAATGAGAAAGGCTGATTTTTATCAAAGCAATCTAAAAACACTACCTTCAGCAATAAAGAAAGAACCATGAGCAAAATTAGAGCCCAGTTAAGTTTACGTTTGAATCTGAGGGAGGCAGAGGCTTAAAATAAAGTTGAGCTCTCACGAACAGTTACATGATTCATCTGACGGTTACAGAAAACCCCTTAAAAGCCCCAAAATAACCATGTTCAAGAACCACTACAACTCCAGAATCAACTCAGATGAGAAAAGAAGCCTAGGATCACAAAATGCATCCTTCGAGCAAGTCTATGGTTCAGGTACAAACTGAATCAAAGCCTATTTGGACTTATTTTCCAGAATGTAATAGAATGAACAATCAGAGATGAAGGACGTGTATCACAGAATTTCAGGGACTTCCCTGGCAATCCAGTGATTAAGGTTCCCTGCATTGGGAGTACGGGTTTGATCCCTGGCTGGGGAACTAAGATCCTACATGTCATGCGGTGTGGCCAAAAAATTAAAAAACGCCAACAAAAGAACATCCCCAAGCACCCAAGAATTTTAAAGAATCCTTTACAGAGTCAACTTTTGTTGACATATCCAATATCCCCACCCAATAATCTAAGAAATATGAGTTGATCACAGAATGTTCTGAAAGCATCATCTCTCCTGATACAGTTCTTAGTTAACTGAAGACTACCTAGAAACTTGCTATTTATAATGTCTTGCTGTACCTCTGTGGAACTCTGCTGTATCTTCCACACAGTCAGAGTTGGTCGCATCTCTATTGTCTTGACAGCAAATCGGCTGAGCAGGTGTTGGTGTCATGTCCTCCGCGATGCCCTCTTCGGGTGACTGAACACAGTCGGGGACTGTGGAAGCCAGACACACAGGCATCTTCATGTGACTGAAGGGCTTCATTTCCAAACCCTCTTGAGGATAAGGTGCTATCACTGGGACCACAGGAAGGGGGCTGCTGCTGAAAGTGCTGCTGGCTTTGGTGAAACACCTACAAAGGGTAAACCAAAAGAGACAGAATTGTCTCTAGAGGGATCAATAACTAAAATTCACTTATTCTGAAATATTATTTGGTATTTTGTATTCACAGATTCTTAAGGAAGACTGGTGCTTAAAAATAACTAAATGATTCACTATGATTTGAATTATCAAGATCTCAAAAGTTATAGTTAAAGTGAAATACAAAGGAGAATGCATCAAAATGCAAACCAGTGAATAACGGGACAGTACACAATGACTTATCACATGCATCCTTTGCCTCAGTCCACTGTTAGAAGTTGTCTTTCATAATAAACTAGCTCCTGAATATAGCACACAGAAGGAAAAGGCCATTCATGCTGGAAGGAGTGAAACAGAAAAAGAGGAAAAGGACAGAAAGCTAAGAAACTTACAGCTACGTGAGAGAAATGACCTTATGAAAGCCAACAAAAATACAGTTTTGAAACCAGGTATGTTCCCTTTCACTCTAGGAAGAAATACTACAAGAACTAGACATTCAAAATCCAAGTTTTGTTTATTTTTCAATTTTTTTTTTCTTTGCAGAATTAATTGCTAGAATTTATTAGTACTAAACATTCACTTCAATTCTGCCCTACTTTTATTTCCTGTCTTCATCCAAGATATGTGATTTCCTCTAATTTTTTCTTCCTGTTCTTCAGATTGGATAATCTCTATTGATCTTTTAGTTTATTGACTCTTTCTTCTGTTGTCTTCAATCTGATATTAAGCCAAAACAGTAAATTCTCCATTCCAGTTATTTATGCTTTTCAGCTTTGGAACTTCCATTTGATCTTTATAGGTTCTATTTCTAAGATGAAATTCCCCACGTGAAGGCACTCTGTGTAGTTCATTGAGTCCTTGAGCATATTTGTTACAGGGTCTGTTTCTATTGACAATTTTTTTCCCTTGAGTAAGTATCACTTTTTCCTATTTTTTACATGTATAGTAACTTTTTTTTTTTTTAAGCTGGATTTTTCCCTCTGATTTTCTGGTTATTCTGTTGACCTCAAACTCCATCTTTCAATACCTTCAGTTTGTGTTCTTGATCCAAGATTGAAGAATGTCCTCAGGCAAAAACCTATAGACAAATGTTACCCATTGTTCTTTCAAGGTTAGATTTATTCAGTTTCTGCCTGTTTCTAGTTAATATACAATACTTTCAGCTTGTCGAGATTCCATCATTATTACCCTGGATGATAAGCTATTCCATCATTAACAGAAACTGAAGACTGGAGACCCAGAAGTATTTACATATAAAATAAAAATATTCTTTATTTATAAAATTAGGAGTGAGAAAAGTGAAGACATTTCATGTGACTTTGGTCGGGAAGGTTAGGTAGGAAATACACAAGTATACTGGAGTTAAGCATATTAGGGAATAAAGATAAGAATTCTTTTGACTTCCAGCCATGGAAGTAGTATGTTTCTGGAACACGGGGTAGTATGTTTCTGGAACATAAAATCAGTAAAGGGAAGCCCCCACAACTGTTAACAGCATCTCTGTTGGTTCAAGTTATTAGAAATAACAAATGTTTTAAGCTTGAAGCCTTGGAACCTGAAAGAGAGTAAGATATCTGTCAGTAAACCAAATCCTTAATTTAAATAAATTCAACTTAAATTTCAAAGAGAGAAATATATCTACTATACACTTAGTAGAATTCAGATACCAGTTATCTGGAATGAAAGCAAAGTATGTTTGTCAGGTATTCATCTGCACAGAAAATTATGACTACAGAATAATCTAATACGACTGTAATCCTAACTTTTAACACTATCAGAAAAAATATATAACTGATTCAAAGAAAATCTGCATTCCGATGCAAGTCTTAAGGCAATAAAAAGCAGAGGAAGCACTGGTATGGAAGAAAGTTTGCTGGAGTCAGAATCAAAGCACTGTGCTAGCAGACCAAGGCTCCAGGAGAGCAAGGCATTCCTCATGGGTCTGCTGGATGTTTCATTCAACTCTGAACTTAAAATTTTTTCTGGGATGCTGGGATGCCAACAAAGGTAAACACAGATCTCTTGACATCCATTTAAAAGTGTCCATGTTATCAGTCTCTTTTCATGAGTCCTTCTGCTGTCTCAATACCCAGAGAATCTGAAATCCCTCTTGAATGTATTCAATTCATAAGAAACTACAGATTCTAATCAGGGTACTCACCTGAAATGTGGGGCAAGGGCAAGGGGAAAACTTTTTGTTTCTTTTTCTGGCCCTGCCATGTAGATTACAGGATCTTAGGTCCCTGACCAGGAAATGAACCCAGGGCCATAACAGTGCAAAGTGCTGAGTCCTACCCACTGGGTCACCAGGGAACTCCTCGAAAAATCTTTTTGCATTCAAATTACTTCTAGTGAGAATTTACTGACTATTATATATCTATATAAAAAAAATACTTAGAAGAACCCTTTATTCCAAAAGCATGTGACATGTGAATACCCTTCTAAATGTCAGACACTGTGGTAGACACTGAAAATATAAAGGCAAATACAACAGGTTCCAGCTCCCAGTCTAGCAGAGGAGAGTAAGTAGACAAACGGTTACACTATAGTGTAGTAAGTATAACGTAAGAAGATATAAGACACGGGTAGCACTCAGCTTTGAGACGGGTTAGGGCTGTATGGCTGATGAGAGTAGGGTACCTTCTGCATTCCAACTAGAGACTAGTGTGTATCCTTCCATGCTCTTTCAGACTCAAGTGTCTTATAATTGAGCAAATTACATTAGATGACAATTAGAGAGTAAGAAAGATTCTGATTTCCAAAAACCAGAAATATCTCTGGTCAAGGGAATCTATATGACTACCATGATTTGTTGAAAATAATTCTTAAAAATTATGTTCCTGGCTTCTGGCTATGGCTGATTAGTTTATATCAGAACAACTCTCCTGCCAAGAGCAACTAAAAAAAAAAAAGATGGAGACATTGGAGTTTAGATCTGTTGGAGTCATCAGACAGCTACCCAGCACTTAAGTGGCTGAGATTCCAGAAAGAAGGTAAATGTGAGTTTCAGCACCACTTGTCCTCACAAAGCATCTGCCCAGTTCAATGCAGGATGGGACACTGAGGCGTCAGGCAGGCAGGCAGCTGCGGAACTGAGAACTTCTGGCATTTCATGGGGCTGGGAAGACAGAAATTAAGAGTTCAGAGGCTGCCAAAGAGAAAAGGCCCAGTAAACAGCCCAGGCTTTTAACTGGGACCCTTGAAGAGTTACACTGTAAAAATAACGGTGAAGCAGGAAGAGACAAGGCTTTTAAAAAGACTTGAAACTCAGCATTAAATCAGCTCAGTCTCTAAGTGGGTTAAAATGATCTGCTCCTTGCCTAATTGCCTGCCAAAAGCAAACGCAAATCCTTTCTGGGGGAAGAAAACATCTTCCAGAGCCTCTAGGAGTTTTTATATGCAACGTCCAGAATTCCATAAAGAATTACCAGGCATTTCCGAAGACAGAAATGAAAGAAAAATAAGTGATGCTTATATTGAGTTAGGAGACAATGACTTTAAAAGAACTGGATGATTATATTCAAGAAAAAAGGTGACAAGACAGAGAATTTTAAATGAGACTGAGCATCTAATAATAATTATTATCTGGAATTTCTAAACTAAAAAGTAGAATAACCTAAATGAAGAACTCAGTTCATGGAGTTAAGTGGAAATTGAGCACAGATGACCAAAGGTTTACTGAACATGAAGTGTGTTCATTCTGAAGACACAAAAGTGTGGAAAATATAGAAAGAAGCATAAGAGACATAAGGGGCATACAGAAAAGCTCATATATAGAATGAAATATTACTCAGCCATAAAAAGAAACAAAATAATGCCACTTGCAGCAACATAGATGGACACAGAGATTGTCATACTGAGTGAAGTAAGTCGGAGAAAGACTGATATCATATGATATCACTTATATGTGGAATCTAAAAATTTAAAAAAATGGGACCAATGAACTTATATGCAAATCAGAAACAGACTCACAGATGTAGAAAACAAGCTTTCGGTTACCAAAGGGGAAAGGGACAGGGAGGGATGAATTGGGAGTTTGGGCCTGACATATACACACTATTATATATAAAACAGAGAACTGATAAGGACCTACTGTATGGCACAGGGAACTCTACTCAGGACTCTGTAGTGACCTATAGGGGAAAAGAAACTGAAAAAGAGCAGATACATGTATATGTATAACTGATTCACTTTGCTGTACCCCTAAAACTAACACAACGTTGTAAATCAACTACACTCCAATAAAAATTATCCGGAAAAAAAGAAAGGGGAGAACAGCAACAAAGATAATGTTGGGAACTGTGAATAAACATTGACTGCTAAAAAACCGAACCTGTATTGTCTTAAAAGATTTTAAATATTTATAGAATTAAACTATATGACAAAAATAACAAAGCACTGGAGAAGAAACTAGAGTTGAAACGACTCTAAAATATTTTGCTGTTTTAAGAAGTAATAAAAGTACTAATGCATGTTAGACTCCAATTAAGGTCATAATGTCCAGTGCCAAGCACATAGTAAATGGCATATCATAGGACTTCAAAAATGGTGAATGGATACATAATAAACATTGAACATCGAACTTTTTAAATAAGCTTTTCTATAAGCAAGTAAAATTATTATCAGAGAGCAACAACTAAACTAATTGGTCAAGATATCTTATAATAGATCACACCCAAAACTAAGACACATAGATTAAAAATGAGAATGAACCATATACTTACCTCTGAAGATTTTTGTACCGCAATAGAAGTTATCTCTGTCCTCGTTCATATTGGCTCTGTTGTTTAGCTTTCTTTCTATCTGTTGGCTTCAAAGTTATCTGACTTAAATGTCAGTCTTCTGGAGGATGGGCAATGCCTGTCCTCGGTGTCAGAGAAAGCTCTTAGATCAGTGAGACACAGGGCACAGTCAAGCACTTAATGAAACCCCCAATCATGATGTAAAACAAACAAAATGAGCTTCTGGCTTAATGTCCCATTTCTCTGCAGG